TATTTTATGAGTATATCACACGGCTATGCATAAAGCCATATCAGTACCTCTTAGCACTAGTTGCACTGATTTCACGGTGAATTCAAAATTTTCGGCGAACCGCGGGTCTTACCTCCAGTGCTTTTCATGATAGAAGCATTGAACAAAGCGTTTCTGTGCCGACTTTTCTCGGTCAGTTGCAAACAGGATGCAAGTGATTACGAACAAAATACACCAGAATACACTTATCAACGGAATGAGACTGTTTTTTCCTTGAGAATTGGACAGACTTTCTTTTTCAAGAGCTTCCGGAAGAGATTCAAAGCAAAATCGTATATATCTACAGCGTAATTAACGAATATTCACTCCGCAGTCGAGATGTTCACTCCACGCCATCTTGACACAAATGATCAGATTTTGAATACCGCCCATGATGCTTAGCGATCGTAGTGCGCACACCACCTGTCTAAAGGCTAAAAGGAATATGCATCCTTCAACAACAGCCATAATAACTGCCACAGAATATGCAAACGGAATATCTCTACAAATACACATGTACAGATATTTTATTGAAATTTGTGTCCATTGGAATACGTCCCATGAATATTCATATTTTGCATCTTTAGGGATTTTTATGCATCAAGGGGATGCAGGACGTAGAGGTTACAAAGTCACTGCATATCTTTTTGTATGGACAAGAGATAGAAGATTTTGTTTATAGCTTGTGGTTGTCGCTTAACCAGAAGCTACACATGTATATAGCTGATTCAGTTAAGGTTGGCTATTGGGCATTTGGCAAATCAAACAATGCAATGATTTCCCTGAGTGAGCACCAAACAATAGCTTACTTAATTGCTCAATTCCTAATGCCCGAAGCAACCTTTATTGAATCAGCTGTACATGGGTGCAATGTCTTACAGGTCCTAATTGTTTACATGTAACACACTCAATGTCAAATATATCATGTTCCCTGAAACTTTTAAGGAATTCCCAAGGAAAGAAAAATTACCATTTTAGGCTTGTAGCTTCCAAACTTAGGATAGGAAATCATAATTTAAAAATAGAAACTGGAAGATTTACAATCCCCAAAACTCCTGAAGACATTAGAATCTATGATCATTGCAACCAAAATTCGGTTGAAAATGAAGCATAAATTATTTCACTGTGATCAATACAACGATTTGAGAAAGACTCTTTTTATTAAAATCAACGACCGAAATACATTATTTACACATTACAATATCCATGATAAAGTCTGTTTTCTTTTTAACAATACTGATTCACATATCAGCAGGCTAGCTGCTAATTTCATCTTTCAAGCATTTGAAAGACGAAAGAAACATAGTAATTCTACCGTTCCATCATATCTGCATTTCCTTAAACTTAGCTGTTTATTATTGTTATTTTAATCGGTAACACTTGTACAAAATGGTAATACTGAATAAACTTGTTGTTGTTGTTGTTGTTGTTGTTGTTGCTGTTGTTGTTGAGTCAATATAATAAGTTAAATGTCTATAATATACAATTTCATTATTGAATTTTACTTCCCAACTATACCTACATTTATTCTCGCAAGACCTAAGCTTGAAAGGCCGAGCCAGAGCATTCACTATTGGTTTTGTGCTTTGATATAACTTGATATTGCTATTTGTGAGCGAAAGAGGACGGTCGCAAAGCTTAATTAACGTGACACATTTGGCGTGAGATCAAGAATGTAATCTACAAAGGAAAAAGAGTCGTTTCGATACGAACTTAAGCAGTGAAACTGCAAAAATATTGCGATTACCTGATGTATAGTTATACTGCGTGAACAAGAAAAACATATGTCGCGAAATATTGGCTGTACACTTCGACTGAATCAATTTGTATCTGAACGAGTTGTATCTATAATATATATTTTTTTTCCTGAAATCACCCATAACCCCCTCAAAAGCCAAATGGTCGGCACCTAAAATCCACGAAACATTTCCTCAGTTGACAGATTCTGATTTGTCGATCATTTCTAAAGCCTTTTGAAACAATGGGGGACAAAACTCTCTGGAAAAGAGGGGAGAAATTCATTTCTATTTACCTCTATCCGTAGAGTCCGTACGGACCGTCGTTCAAGCGTACGTTACGTCATAACAAAATTTTCTCGGATAGATATTTTACAAAATCTTGTTACCCATGGTGCTCCGCTGCACGCACTTCGCGCGCGAGAGTGCTCCGATGTGAAGTTAATTGGAGGTCCCGAAAAGTCCCGTTAAGTCACAATAGTCCTCGGTGGCAGCCAGTTCACACGCAGTATAACTTATCGGTTTTACCTTTCTGTCTAAACAAAAGGCCAAAATTAAAATAGAGAGAATTCACCATTAGACGCAGGTTGCGCAAATGCATCGCACGGAAATAGAACTTACTCCTCCCCGCGACGGGCTGACACCTGATAGAGGAATAATTGTTTTAGAAAAATCCAACTAGTTGGTCAAAATATCGAGACAAAACAACTTTGCCTAATAAAAACTAGACTTTAATCCTTTTTTTG